ATACCACAATAATTTAGCTACTTACATATAGAATATATCTGTTTCAAAATTACATTTGCAAATGATTTTTACTAAAACATAGTTATTCACTTTCATATGTTGATGTTTTCTTTTTATCAAGGATGGAAATACTGCGTTACATGTAGCTTGTAAACGTAATAACAGTAACGAGGCGATAGTAACTCTTTTACTAAACAGAGACTGTGATCCAAACAAACGAAATAATGAAGTAAGCACCAGCAAAAGTGTACTTTTGTGATTTCCAAATCATTAATTGCTGTAATTGATAATAAGATATATTAAGTAAAACATGCAGTGTTACTTCAGCTTGAATTAATCGGTGCATTCAGGTATGGTGTTGATATATTTTGGGATCTGTACACTTTCTTTTTAGGCCATGGATCTGCCTAACAATAACAAAAAACCCAAATATCGTTCTTACATTGAAGAGATATCAAATTGTACTATTTATTTATTTAAATAATTAATTCAACATATTACAACTTTTTGTCAGACTTCCTGCTGGTATAGTTTAGAAATGCGATGACGGGGTATGAAACTTTTATCAGTCACCATGGTAATCAGACCATTGTCCATTTAGAAAAAAAAATGGTAAAATTGGAAGCACGTGTTTGTGTAAATAAGAACTTATAGAAGAACTCTTTCTCTGAGGACCTTTTTGAGTTAGATTTGTTCTAGAAATATGGATATGATTAAGATCACAATGATCAAATTTCAGTAGCCTTTTTTAAGTGTTCCTATCGGTATTTTCTTTTGGCATTGAGGTGTCTCTTTTTCTTTGAACTAAGAATTTAGTTGTGCGTTTTCGTTTTAATCATTTCCTTAAAAAAACACAATTGAAGATTTTCACAGAATGACAGAAAAAAACAAAAAACAACGACTGTAACAAAATGCACTGTATAGCTTGCTGTGCATAAACATATGGCCACAATTGCAAAACAGGAGGGGAGCAGCAATATATCAAGACAATTGATTCTTCGCTCATGTTTTAATCAGGGTATTATAAAATGTTTTATTTTCCCGATACTATCGAAGTGGTATGATTGTCAATGACAAAAATTTACGGTAAAGACAAATAACCTGGATGGAGGTCACTTCTAGTATATGTCACCGTACTGCCATCAACGATGAGCAAAACTCATTACAATGAAGTCAGCTACGGAAGGCACCGACATGAAAACATGTAAACAATTCAAACGAAAAAACCTACGGGTTGGGTTTTGTACAAAACAATCACAAAAACAAAAACAATAAACATCCAATAACGAAAAAAGTAAAATAACAATAATATCTAACTCCAAGGAAAATTCAAAACGGAAAGTCCCTTATCTGTTACGGCCAGAAATCACCTTTAAATTGTTGCCAACAAAAGACACAAATTAATAATAAAGTTTCACAAGATTTATTATACACAATTTTACAAGAAGTATTACACAAAAAGAAATGTCAACTTAACTGTCGAAATATATGTCCGGTCTTTTGTCTTTTCTTTATCCGGAATTCTTCTCTTCACTGGTGCGGGAATCCAAACAGAATATTATGTCCAATAAGTCACAATCTAGTATGATGTAGTTAACGTAAATAAAAATGTCAATCCAAAATGTGAGAACACAAGAATGTTAATGTCTAATCTGAAAGTCTAACTTTAGTGTCTGTATATATATAGTTGTCACGAAAATCTCTAGAACACTGTAGAAGGAAACTCCTATAAAACTATAGAACGGAAATTATATAATATTGTAGAAGTTTAAATTACACATCGTAGATTATGATCATTCCAGAATTATTAAGTAAGTCAAATAGAAAGTTCTAATCATTCCATCAGTATATATGATTGTTCCAGTGATATCTAAACTGCACAATTATACCATAATTTTGTAAACAACTATAAATATTATGTAAACATATAACACATTGTTTTTGGTTGATTTTTAGCAGGCGCTTAACCATATCTTTATCATGAGACAGTTGGGTAATACATGATATGAAGGGCTTTGACATGTTTTCTAGTGCTCAATGTTCACCCTAATCTAGGACAGTGTTGTTACAGCTACAAATAAAATATAACACAAACAAAAATCAATTGAATGTAATTGACTGACAAGAAGCACAAACAAAAACTGACAAATAGACAAAAGAAACTAAATACCGATCTAAGAGTACTCGTAGCTAGTTCAAAACTTATTTACAACTAACAAATACATCATGTTTCCCAAACTAAATTATAATCCAGTACATATCCAAAAGATTTAGTGTAAAGAGGTCATAAATTGTAAAACACATGATAGTTCGCAATGCAAAAATATAAACAAAGACGGGACGTTTGAACATAAGTGTTCATAAATGCAAAGGAAGACATATTTAGTTATATTTGTATGTCTTTACAACAAAAGCAATGTTATTCCTAAACTATCAAATTAAAAACAAAAATGAGTATACGGTTTAAGATTAAGCATAATACAAAAACAACTTGGAGCCTATATCAAATAATTTTCGAGTTGCTAGCTAATAACCATTTCTAAATATTTTGATTATGTCAAAATGATCGGTCAGAAGAATGCGTCTTTAATCCATAAGATATACTTAACCAATAAAAACACAAAAGAAGACATATCATCAAATGTTATTAATCGTTTATAAACATTATTTGACAAAACTTACAAATTCTGAATAAACAGGTATGGAGACATCTTAATCACTCGCTAGTTGTCGCTTTAAACGAATGGATACCGATGTGTTTGTCGTCTTTAGTCGACATTATAATTGACCACAACAAATATATGAAAAATGAGTGACATAGATTACCTTCGCCGTATTTGGCAAAACTTTTTGGAATTTTGGGTCCTCAATACTCTTGAACTTTGTACATGTTTGGCTTTATAACTTTTTTGATCTGAGCGTCACTGATAAGTCTTATATAGACGAAACGCGCGTCTGGCTTATTACATTATAAGCCTGGTACCTTTGATAACCAATTAAGTCTGTTTCATCTTTGTTTATACAAATACAACTATTTTGTGTGATACAGGGAAAGAAGCCAATCGAGCTAGCTCATAAATTGAAAATAAGACAGTTGTTTAAGGTAATGTATGAATTATATATACTTGTAATTAGTATTTTCAATTATATTTTTTTTAAATATTGATACTAGGTAATGTCTGTTAAAGAATCAATGTATGTTCTGAAAATATATGTATGTAAACATATAGGAAAATGCAATGCTTTAGATATAAGACGCACACATAGACATTATTTTCTTTTGCAGGATTATGAAGCACGCCTGCCTGGTTAGTATGTTTTACCTATAGTTATTATTGACTAATTTGTTTCGAATAAGGAACAACTTTTTATTCATTATTTGTATTTGTTTGCACAATGAAAAATTTATCAAAACTTTTAAGAGTTTTTGGTCCTCAATGCTCTTCAACTTCGTACTTTATTATGTATTTTTTTAAAGGAGTAGGGGCAATAAGGGCCAAAATCGGCCCCAATTTTCACAAAAAAACGAAGTTCCTTCACAGTTACATATTAACAACTAAAATAATCATTGTAAAGTGTGTTTTCAGAAAACATGTTATTTTCGGCAAAAATCACGTTCCGTGACGTCACAATAGAACATCGAAAACGCCATGATTTGTAATTATTGCTTAGAATACAAAGATTTTCAGTACATTTTACGAGAATTCGTACCCTCCGCAGGCATGTGCCAAAATGTCCTTTAAACGATAAACGGAACTATAAACAAACAAAATAGTAGCAAAATATTTTTTTGGCACATGCCTGCGGAGGGTATGAATGTTTTGTCAAAAGCAGAATCGTTTCTTCTCGGGAGGCATTGAACACCTGACGTTATACCCTTTCAGATAACCAGTTTACTCGCAAATACAACTTATAACTTCCATGTGATGCAAATTAATATTATGCATCTCAAAGAGGATTGTTTTTAAACCTTTTTTAGTCTTCTTAGTCTTTTCCATGGTTTATTATTGATATGACTGTGGATCGAATAGAGACAAAAACTTGGGGCCAGGGCATGTTGTCAAACGATGACCGATAAAAAATAGAAAGAAAAAAAACAGAAATAAAATTATAAAAAAATCAGTATAGAACTTAATTTTACATTAAATTAATTGATTTGCGACATGTAAAATATTTAGTTTGTCTGATCACTTTATATATATAACATGATCATAAAAAAGTAGTTTCGGAAATTTGAAAAAAACCGGTTCAGATTCTTGAAGACATCTTTTAGGACAACCACAAAAGGAAAGCGTCTTATAGTTACCAGCAGTACTTTAGACCCGATCTACTTAGCTCAACTTTAGAGAATAGCTGTCAAAGGATTATTAATTTCGGTTGTAATTCAAAAGGGTATGTTGATTATTTTACTTATCAATTTATCTCAACAGAAATATGCGGGGTTCCGTACAGTTTTTCATATTTAAAATATTAATCTTCTCACGGTAGTATTTGCACGATCATTTCAACTTAAAAAGCTTGCATCAATCCGTTTGAAAACTAAATTATACCAAAAATGAATTGGTATCTTTACCAGAAATGTCCTTATTTTACAGTTGAATATCAATATTGCCGGGCGATGAAAAAGAAAAGAAATTTACGGGGTATGAAAACTACTTGTACTAGGAAACTTTTGTGTGTTTCTTTTCTATAACGATATATTATGAATATATACATAAAAATAAACAGTGAAAAGATCACAATTTATCCTACAATTTGAAGTTTATGTTAAAACAGTATTATAGTTTCTTAGGTGTCGTATGCTGAAGAAACTTTTCTAACGTACTGTTGAATTTAAGTACCTGTAAATTAACGAATTATAAACAGTTGACGGGATAGTCGTGGGGATAAGGTAGTCATGATGGCAGTACGGAGATGCCAAGTTCGAATCTCAAATTTTTTTTTGTAATTTTTTTTTTTTTGCATTAATGCATAAATACTTTTTTAATATTGTCATAACGTGTTGAAGAATGATTTTGAATGATGAAGTTTTTTTTATAGATATTTACTGAAGAGCAGTATACATGGTATTTTGAATAGCGACATTGTACTTCACCAGTATGTACTAGCAGTTGTCACTTACATACTTAATGGTCCCTTAATAAGGTATTCCTTATTTTTAACTGATTCATGTCTTAAAGCATTTGTGCTCGAATAAACAGTTTAAACCTATGTTTGAATGATGATTAATTGATAACATTGTATTATCAGGCACAGAAACAAAAAGACTACTTTTTGACAGTTTATAGTGTGCGGCTATAGAAGTAATAATCTTTTATCTTTAAATTGAGAAATGGTTATTAATATTTTTATAGTAATTTTTATAAACTTTCTCACATAAAATGTTTACTTAATACCCTGTCATATTTAGTTCAAAATAAGTATACATTATTTTGATAATCTTCATTTTTTTCAACAGATTTTAAGCTGGCTTAAACAATGCAAGTGTATGCTGGGTCAAAGGAATATGTCGGTTCCTGATAGGAACTCATGACCTTAAGGTGAGTCTAGGGTTAAAATAAATTGACTGCGTGTTTTAACTTCTAGTAATTATGATAAACGTATCTTGATGAGAGCATGCATTATCTACATTTCGAGAAGACTTAGAGTTTTACATATTGAGTAGACATTATTTTGTTGAATATTATATGTTTCCCTCTGTTTGTCTTTTGTGTGTGTGTGTTGTTATAGGGGTGGTGGTTTGCTGTCCCATTAATGTTTATCCGTTACATCTTTGTATTCATGTTTTAGGTTGTAATTTTCTAATATAGGAAGACTTTAAGATTTATTAATTATTATTAACTATCCGTAATTTTGATACTGACTTAAACACTTTTGTCCGTTTAAACGTTAAACGATAATTAAGTATATAAACAATCAGGGTTGAATATAGCATATTTCAAAACTGATATTTCGTGATGGAATTTGCATGTAAATTAACAAAAACGTAAACATACACACACACACGTGCGCAGACAAATACACACAACTAAACTAAGAAACATACGCACCATGATATTCTCAGACTAAAACATTTTACGATATTGTATTTTATAATTTTAAATCACACTTCGGATATTCTGTATGTTATTCTGATTTACCTCATGCTATCTGTTGAAATATTTCCATTTCTAATTTTCAGAGAATGTCAACGCCCAGAAACTATACTTGCATTTTGTGTTCAAAGAGACCAAAAACCAGAGACAGGCGGAAACTCATAGGACCCAACAATAAATCACTGCGTAAATGTTTACAACAAAAGTTTTTCATTGAACAGGACAAAATTAATCACACTAACAGTGTTATATGTAATAAATGCAGAATACGATGCTCTCGAGAAATTGACACAAATGTAAGATGCCCCATACAAACTACAATATCTGAATTAAATAATGATGACACGGAGTACGTCCCTCCAACAAAATATGCTAGATGTCATCCATGTAAATCTCCGCCAAGTATCGCACTGCCTATACCATCAGCTGGAGGTGGCCATTCGCAGTGTGTTGTGTGTAAACGCCGAGGCCCAAAGCTAGTAGTCGTCCCAACAAACGCTAGATTTAATTTATTTTTGGATAAACTCATTGTTCTCACAGTTGGTGCCAGATGTTGTCCAGGTCACTTGTGCAATGAAATATTTTTACCTGATGCACTTGACAGAATTTCATATTCGCAGTCTTCGTCCATTTTCAACCGTACTGACTTAATGGACCTTATTACGCAAATCCGAGATATGGCATTGAGAGGAAGCAAGCGGCGAATTGATTTTGATACAGAAAATGCACTTACAAGCTCAGACATTTTAAATCTGACAGGCCTTTCTAAGGAAAACTTTAATGACCTATGTTCAATTGTCCAAAAGGGTAATTTACGGGATTCTCAGACTCGAAGTGTTCGGACATGTATTGGAATATTTCTGACCAAATTGAAGTCTGGTTTATCCAATAAACTTTTATCAACACTTTTTAATCTTGGTAAAGATTCTGTTAGACGTGCTATTGCATCAGCTAGAAAATTCTTGTCTGACAATTTTGTTCCCTCTAATCTAGGATTTAATCATATAAGTAGGGAAGAGGTTATAACATCGCATACTCGACCTCTAGCACAATCACTGTTTGGAAAAGGAATGTATCCAGCAATTATAGTCGCAGATGGCACTTATATTTATATCCAGAAAAGTTCACAATTCAAGTTCCAACGTAAATGCTATAGTATGCACAAACATCGACCATTGGTTAAACCAATGGTCTTTGTAACAACTTCTGGTTACATTATAAGTGTAATTGGACCGTACTTTAGCGACGGCAAAAACAACGATGCACAAATAATGAAGCACATCATTCAACATGACATTGAGGAATTTAAAGAATGGGTGACTGAGGATGACATTATGATTGTCGACCGGGGTTTCCGAGATGCACTTGACTTACTGCAAGAAATGGGTATCCAAACAAAAATGCCAGCTTTTAATAAAAAAGGGGAGTCTCAACTTCCAGTTGAAGACAGCAACGTAACAAGACTAGTTACAAAAATCCGTTGGGTGGTAGAGTCCGTGAATGGCCGCATTAAGTCATGGAAATATCTAGATAGAGTTCTACCAAATAGCCAGATTCCATTTGTATCTGATTATGTCAATATTGCCTGTGCAATCATGAATAAATATTGGCAAGAACTAAATACAGGGGACTCAGAACAAGATGAACAATTGGCGTCTAAAATGCTTTATCTTTCAAAGCAAAAGAACTTACTCCATGAGAAAATAATAGAGGAAGGCCTTGACAAACGTTCTTGTAAATGGCAAAAGATTGATGCTTCATCCGCCCCTACTTTTCCCCGTTTATCAGAAGAAGATATAAGAAATATTACTGTTGGAGTCTACCAACTAAAACTTGCTCCAAGTTATACAAGAGAACACCTAGATGACGATGGTAATTATGAAGTTTTTACATGTGACCATGAAGAGAATCTTTTGTGTGCTAAAATTCAATCAAGACATATATCATCAAAATGCTATCGTGTATGGGTTAAATATGATGACATTAGTGTCGTGGGTTGGTATTGCCAGTGCAAAGCCGGAAGTCGTGTTGTAGGAACCTGCTCTCATGTTACGGCCTTAATTTGGTATCTTGGTATTGGAAAGTACACGGATAGAATTTTTGAAAACTGTCGTGATTGGAGCAAATATCTTCTTGATGCTCGTAACCTGCCAGATCCAGTTACTGTTGACGAAAGTGACAACGAGGAAGCAAATGATGAAGAGTGAATGACGTGAAAATTCATTATTTGTTTTTTAATTTGAAAGAAATGACAAAACGTTTAATTCCTTGTTGAACCATACAGTGTATATCATTTGATATGTCTGGAAATGTTTTTACCAACTGCTTCCTCCGACATTGTACAGAATTGAAAGATTAGTTGTTAATTTGCTTGGTTCCTTTTTATCTAAAATCGTACTTCTACAAAATTATGTCTGTCATCAGTAAATGTCTTATGTAAAAGTGTACTTTCCGGTTTTATGTATTAGTGTATATGAAAAAAAAACAATCCGTGTTCTTTAAAACTTACAGAAAGATAGTTCAATGCACGGGTTAAAATAACTGAATCCATTTCTTTTATATTTCAAACCGTAGGAAATAATTAGATAGTCGCTGTACGTAGTAGCTCATTTTTTTATATGGGTTATTAGATATGTGACCCAATGTGTATTTTATGCATAATACATCACATTTCTACTATTTTAATCACCTTATCCATTCGTATGACCGTGCGTTTGTCAAACAAATATTTTCCAAATATTTCTTTTCTCAAAACTAATACACATGTCAGAATGTCATCATATGTTGTCAGCGACCAACCCTATCAAGTTGTAGTTTGTGTGGTTTTTTCTCTCGAATCTCTCAGACAATGTCTTCATGTTTTCTTGTATGTTGAGTTACCAGTTCAACATATTTCTTCATATACATGTTTTTCATATGACTATTTGCAAGTAATTGTAAGATTTAACAAATAAGTACATAACTCATCAAAACATATGTTCATGATAAAGCATAATGACAGTTTTTTTTTACTTTATAGCTTGTGACTTGAGTAGTCAGAGTATATCCATTCCTTCAGGCTTGCTCACGGAATATTGCGGATTGCAGAAAATATAGAATAATTTGTCACATAATGCAGAATTAATAAATATTCTTTGATAAAAAATACTGTATGCATATGCCTATTGTTAATTCTTTTTTTTTTTCCTAAATAAGGAAAAATGAGATTTCTCCTATTTAACCTTATGAAATAACTGGTGGTTTTGTTAATTTCAACGTTTTCGAGGAAAAAAACAAGGTTATGACACCAAGGTTTACTTATGTTTATATTGAAAATCGAAAATTTATTGATCCAGAGGTCTTTAAAGAAGTTTAAGAAAAATATATCGTCCAACATTTAAACACCCAAGCTATCTGAAAGCGCTTATCTATGATTGATTATTTTTTTATGTAGGTTTCTGTTGCCATAGCAACGGTAACTGTGTTATTATAAGTAAAATGAATTGTAAACAAATATTATGAAATAGCATTTGTACACTGTATGAGTTGAAAAATAACATTTCCCTAATCAACTGAATGTTAAAACAGTATGTGCTACATTGATATTTCAAAACGGCTACAAATAAAAATATTCCATGAAAAAAGAGGATTTTTTTATTTATCTGTCATTAGTTTTGAAAGTTTCTTACGCGAAAACGGCTTGAGATATGAACAAAATCTTTTCTGTTCTATGAAGTGGATTGTTTAGGCATGATTTTCAGAAAAAATGAATTTGTTCTAAGATGGGGCCGATTTTGGCCCTTATTGCCCCTACTCCTTTGTTTATTCAAGTGTAACTTATAAGTCTTTTGTAGACGACGAAACGCGCGTCTGACGCAAATGCAAAATACCAATCCTGGCATCTACGATGATTTTATTGATATATTAACTTTTAACTGTTGGTTTTTTTTCCAATGCATAATGAGACATTTGTTTCGGGGACATTTTTAAAATTTTGGAATCGAGCGTCAATAATGAATCCTGTGTTGACGTAACGCGCGTCTGTTGTCATTTTTTTTTTTCTAAAATCAGTTTATTAACGAATATTTGGTCTCTGCTGGTGAAAGTTTCCTCCGTAGAGTATCATCAGCTTAGTAATCAGCACTGTCTGAGTTGTCAACTAGTGAAAGTATCTCGTGATCTTGTCAAGTAGTGGTTTGATTGTGAAGACCGTGAAGTTCTTCTACAGAATATACTTATTATTTACATTGTCATAATTATAAATTAAATGCTAAGGATTTGCACCCCAGGACAAGATTACCGTTGCTGTATTTTTCAAAACCTCACGAAATGTTAAGTCGTCAATGTTCTTTAACTTCTTTCCTTATTTTGCCTCTTTAACTTTTTTTATTCGAGCGAGTGAGTCTTTTTAGTCTTTTGTAGACGTAACACACGTATGGCGCACAAAGGTTTAAGCATGGAATATATGATGAAATCATTCACCACAAGCAAAGATTGATTTACATAAGTACCGTTTTTTCTGAATTCGGTTCAATAGAACGTTTATAGTTTAGGGAGTATCTGTGATGATCGTTACAATGTGGAGTGTATAAAAAAAACTCAGTTTACACATAAAGATATTGAAAAAGGTGAAAACATATAAACAAAAAAACATATACCATCGTTCACAAGGTTGGAATTGTGTTTAGGATAAGAAAAGGACGAGATCATATTTACAATTAATACAACAGGTAGATTATATAATGAGGGGTTGAAGGAATTTTTCGGCACGTCGGGATTTGGGACGTTATTGTTTGCGGGAAAATAGGATTAACCTTATCGGGACTCGGGAATTAAATATAAATATTTTCAAGATTTTGTGATGACACTCTTTCTTCTCCCTTATCCATTTCGAAATGAAGGTAGTTTTCAAATGAGAGTATATCGGATAGAGAGACGTTTTGAACTTGCAACAGTCTGCCTCCTGGCCATACATACAATTGGTGCAAGGGTTTTTAATGTGCATGAGATAAGGGCATTCTCCTTACACGAGGTATCGGATTTAATGTCCACATTGTGACCGGAACCGACTGTAATCGATAATTTTGCTTGCCACGAACAACAAGAAGGATTCCAGAAGAAAACAAGGATCTACTCAAAAATCAAGTACGTACTGTCACCCCTTGTGAAGTTTGTGTGTATCTGTACGTATTTGATCTTGGTGTATACTTAAATTAGCACTACGACTTGTACATCCAAAGCGAGTGTAAATGTTTGTTTCAGTTATAAATCCTATGCGGGAGAAGTTCTGTCAAGGCGAGTTCTGAAATGTTCTGAAATAAGACTGTGATTTAGTTCAGCACAAAATATCGAATACTATTTAACACAGAAGATAGTTATACATACATGCATAACTGTGTATTTCGATATTTGCATTCTTTATATCATCGGCGTTGACTACTATGCATCATTACATCTAAATTATAATATAGGTGTAAGAGTAATAGAGAAGTTTTGACATAGATTTACATCTATTTTCATATTTTTTTTATTAACAGTAAAATATGTTCATGTATTTGAAATAATCAGTCTTGGCCACTCAGGTGTGCGTGGTGTCCATATACCATTGTAAACTGATTTTTTTAGTGTAAGGTACACTTGACGAATACATTGGAAATATTCATTCATAAAATATAACAATGGAAAGTTTTGAGAAGTGCATTACACTTCATATAAATTTGAGCAATAGTGGTGATTACTTAATTTGCATAGTAATTGTAAAGCTTGGTACTGGCTTTTAATATGCGTTTCAACTTGTTAAAAATGTCTAAATGCATATTAACGCTTTGGGAAGTACACCACTAATTCATGGCCCCATTGCTTTCTATGTTAAATTTCTCAATTTCAAGCAGGAACAGCTCTTTTGTTTTCAGTGCAAATACAGTAACAATCATTACATGTCAAAGCAACACTTTATGGTGTCTTGTACTGAAAAAATCAACATACCTTTAATGGCATATAAGACATAACTGGTTTCCGGAACTTCGGATGTACCAAAAAAGGTACTTCAGATCTGACAAACAGGCAAAATGTACCCTCTTTTTAAAATTTAGTTCAGTTTTTTTAATATTCAAAATTATAAGTCAAAAAGTGTTCTACAATTATCACCATTCATTCAGCTTTCATTTGATACCAAAAATACCTTGATATTCTACATATTTTGAAAGTTACACTCATGCGTAGGAACTATTTTGTGTTAAGTATGTACTACTTTCTGGTATGTGCTTTCTGGCCGGGCCCGACTTAGTGGTGTTACACCTATAACAGAACCAAACTTGCTATATTGACTTCAGCATTACTTTATTTCATTATATGATCTATTTCAAGCAATAAAAAACATACAAAGCTTTAGTCCAAATACTACTCGACTAATTTTAAGCTCAAATTGGACTGGTAGTAACATATGGGTTATTCAAAGAAAACTGCATATGGATATAACCATTGGCCAATATTCTTTTTTTATTCTCAATATCATTGTTCTATTTATTAATTTCTATTAGGAAAGCAATGTGCTTACCAATTGTCATATTTTTACCAAAGATTGTTCATTTAAAAAAAATATATTAGTCTGTTTGCTAAGACATAATTGAGAATATTGTCCCCCCTTTTTTCTTCAAATTGGAAAAGGGACATTTTTGGTATAAACTATACTTCTGTGGTACAACATAGATTATTAAGAGCAATTTATATATCCCTCAGCTGAATAACTTGCTCAACTGGTTCAAAATTACATCTACAGTGAAATTTAGGAATTCTTATATGAGTATATACCACTTGTCTAGATTGTAAAAGGCTACCATAAGAAAACCAATAAAACTTGAAAAATCATAGTATTATTAGACCAAGAGCTATTTTTTAACCATAAACAAGTCATAATATACATGGTTTATTGATTTCAATCCCAAATAATGCAAAAATAAGAACTTGGAGTCAAGTCTTAGCTGCATGCATGTTGTATGACCATAAAAGGCTAAAATACCTTATTATGTCAGTTTAAGAGCTGAAATTTCCCATAAACAGAATTGTTCATAAAAAAAGATGATTAAACATGATTAATGACATCAAATATGACTAATTTTCATTGCAATAGGAACAACTTCTAAAAATTGAATTTCTGAAGATTCTCTGTAATAGGAAGTACACCACTAATTTATGGCCCCATTGCTTTCTATGTTAAATTCCTCAATTTCAAGCAGGCACAGCTCTTTTGTTTTAAGTGCAAATAAAGTGACAATCATTAAATGTCAAAGCAACACTTTATGGTGTCTTGTACTGAAAAAATCAACATACCTTTAATGGCATATAAGACAGAACTGGTTCCCGAAACTTCGGATGTACCAAAAAAGGTACTTCAGATCTGACAAACAGGCAAAATGTACCCTCTTTTTAAAATTTGGTGCAGTTTTTTTAATATTCAAAATTATAAGTCAAAAAGTGTTCTACAATTATCACCATTCATTCAGCTTTCATTTAATACCAAAAATACCTAGATATTCTACGTAATTTGAAAGTTACACTCATGCGTAGGAACTATTTTGTGTTAAGTATGTACTACTTTCTGGTATGTGCTTTCTGGCCGGGCCCGAATTAGTGGTGTTACACCTTTAGATTTGATTTTGATTTTCTGTATTTTAACTGCTTTTTGCCATTTCGTGGAGGCCAGTTTTTATTGCTGGAGGAAGCCGGAGTGCCCGGAGAAAACCATCGACAATCGATAGGAAAACTGACAATCCTAGTCAATTAAGATTAGAGGCGACTGCACCCGTACGAGAGGGGATTCGAACTCACAACCTCCGTGTTGACTGGCCAGTGATTACAGTAGTAACTACTTATATCACTCGGCCACCGAGGCCCCTTAAGCTTTAGAAATGTCATCTCTAGTATATTATCAGCAAATTTGAGTGTAGTCTTGGCGGTAATAAATATAATATTTATACATTATTAGGTATGATTCAAATATAACTTTACTTTGTTAAATCGGTAGACCGGGCTTATGATGTAAAATTGCTTTATAATGCTTGAAATCGAATGAAAACACCATGTACTAGTATCAAAATTGTTTGTCATTGAAATTTAAAGTAACGGAAGCTTTAAATCAACGCCGAAAAATGGAAGAATGGTCACTGGAAAAAATACGTTTATACTTATACAAATATGCATTTCCTACATTTTAAAAAAATGGTACATTCATATTTAAATTTGCCAACACATCTAATGTAGTATGAATAGTTTTAGATAATCTCTTATTTAGGTTTTTCCCTGGAAGAAATCACAGTTTGCAGATCCCTTTTACGAGAAGACAAAACAAAACAAAAACAAAATGTTCTATTAGCAGATATTACATCAACCAGTCCAAATATATCAGATTTTACAGAGGTCGCATCAATGTCAGCCATCAAAGAAGAGCTGACACATAAATCGAACGAATCACAATCGTTCGATGCCACGTCATCTACTGAATGCTTCATGACAGAATCTGTGAAAGCCCAAAAACTGCCCGAGCCTCATTTTCAAACCTTACCTGATTGTGCTGGTAGCTTTGCATTAAGTATGGAAAAGAAACTATCAGGTCATGTTGTAGGACAGAAATCAAAAATAGTAAACAACGATGACACATATGATTCAGATATACAAGCAAACCCCGTACTTCAGAAAGGCAATCAGGTAGATTTGATTTTGATGAAAAGTGTTCAGATGACTTAAGCACTAGGAACGAACAAGTAGCACAGTATTATACAACTGAAAACGAAAATTCGGATGCTGCGAAAGACAGGAAAATATATGAAGCTTCGTTTGATGAATACAAGTCAATGGACGATTCTCATGATGCTTCTTTGAAGTCAGATTTCACTGCTGATTTGCATATAGAAACTGTTACTAAACCTGGAATTATCAGAAAGCTAAAACATTTTTTTGGCATTACTAAACAAGTTAAAGAAGTCAAAGTGTCAATCACAAAGGAAAAATTCTTAGAGAAGTCATCAAAAGTTGGAAAAAAAAAGTTACACAACAAAAATATAGCACCTATAATAATAACAGTACCTTCCAGGAAAGAGTGGACATAAAACCTCAAGAGGTAAGTATAAACAGGCATTACTGTTCAATAGACAGTGTTACGAAACAATAGTAAAGTAGATAAAAAGATATTCCTAATATGTTAAAAAAAATACGCTTGTAAACTAAAACATCCATTATTGCAAGAAGAGGCACTCAATTAATGTATTTAGTAAACAGTATATTATGTAGAAAATGGCTTTAATACCTTCCCCCTGATGTATTTGACAGTTTTTTTTTTTTTGTTTATTATAACAGATTATCAGCTATTCTGTATCAACACCATTGTAACATACTGCAAAGGAAGTATTCATGGATTTCCTAAAATTATGGTTGTTTTAACGCACAAAGATCAGGTAACAGCTGTAAGTATGATGTAGTACATTTCTACAATTGAAATAATGGACTGTTTGGATTTGAATAATGTCTTATAATCTAATAAAAAGAGGATGCAACACGTTTTCATTTATATGTCATTTGAATCAGAATGTAATTTTGTAAACTCAAGCAATGGTTTGATTGCAACAATGTAATCATTTGTTATATACGCAACATACATATCTTCAATTAATTGTTTATTGAATATATTATAATTATTGATTAATATAAATATAGGTGGTAACATATTATATTGATGCTTTTTTTAGAATGAAGTTGAACAAAGACGACATGACATATTTGGAGAAATCTACAAGATGTTTCACAAAAATCCATTGATGCAACAATTGGTGATTGATGATGAAATATTTGTAAACGCTAAAGACAAATATGACCCAGAAATGGCGAAGATTAAAGTTGCTATCATCAGGGAATTAGAGAGGCAACCAACATGGGGAGAACCACTTCCAAAGTGCTTTATCCCGTTAGAGTTAGAATTTGCGTCGTTAATCAGACGCAACATCCCTCTAATTACACTTGAACATCTAAAGAAAATAAACTCATTGCAGCCAATTAGACCGTTGTCAGAAGCTGAATTGAAGGTATTTCTGAAATTTCAACATTCTATTGGCAAGTTATTGTACTTCAATGAACATAAATTGAACGACCGTATCATTTTGTCTCCCACTCTTCTTATCGATACATTCAAATCAATTGTTACAGATAGGCAATTTTGTGAAGGGAACAAGAAAAGAGAAGAAATATGGGATGCAATGGGAAAGACAGGGGTGGTATCAAAACAAGCAATAGAAGGCGTTTGGAAGGGAAAGAAATATGTAAAATTTTACGAAGACAAAGATTATCTATTAAATGTCATGACCCATCTTGATATACTGGTTGAACCAAAGAGATATGGTTCTGATCACAACCGCATACCTGCTGACTTTTATTATATCGCAAGTATGGTACGAGCTATAGATGATTCTGGATACCTTCAATCCACTGACATCACTAAACGAAATATTGCCATAGCCTTTATAACGTCTTCCATGATGATACCCCAAGCATTATCATTTAGATTCATCAGTTACTGTCTGTATGTTTGGGCGGTACAGACATATGGAGAGACCAAACGGGACATGCTGTTCCATAGGTCAGGAGTTTTCAATGTTGATCCTTCCGTAGATATGTACATTCTCTGTGAAGATGAGAGGATTGTTGTCCGTCTTTTTCATGCTGAAACAAACACACTTATAATGAGGGATATGGCGTCCAGTGTAAACGAATGTTTAGTATCTGCTTAGGAGAAAATCAGTCAGTTGTTTATCAAAACAAGTAGCGACCAGAGTCATAACATTGATGAATCCTTGATCACCAGCATATGCTGTAACTCACCGGATAACCCATGTATCCTACCGTTACCAAGACTAGCAAACATTAACAAAATCTGGACATGTCCTGACCATGGCATTGAACACAATATACACACAATCACATCGTGGTTTGCAAGAAAGGTATATACAAATGAGTTGAAAAGTGTTTCATGTCAAATTTGATTTGAAAAAATTTATTTGAAACGAAAATACAATTTGTTCCACAAAACTTGATAGTTGCATTTGATGACATGTGTATTCGTTTCAGACATTTCACATAACAATTTGTTAGTCCAGTAACAAACAAATTGCTTATAACGGCATTGTGGATTAAAAGAAAGATATACATATTCGTACGATTTGTTTTTAAAGGATCTCTTTCCGATAACTCAATTAATCAACTATATTTTCATTGTCTCCTTTCACGTGAATGTGTTAAACAAAACGCATTTATATTCGATTTTTTTTTAATATAGACTTTTGTGAATGCAAAATATGTGCAATTAATACAATTTGAACAACCTGTATTTATAATTACAAAATGAGGAAAATTCTAGAAACATAAGCAAAATAAGAGTCCTTTTGTGACATGTTAATCGTGCGTCTATTGCGGTTTTCATGGTTTGTTTAAAATCCGAAGATTAATAAGAAAAGAAAACGAAATCTATGTAAAATGATGTGTTTCGAAATAAAATGAGGTATACAAAACAAATACGACCAACTATTTGCAATTGCCAGTTAAGGAAAATAGTTGATTGAATATCTTTTTTAACTGATAACATTCAAAGTTTTAAATCATCATGTGAGTGATATGATGTAATGTAAAGCACAAATTAACCTATTGTTTCTTTTTTCTAAGGATGAAGAAGAATGTGAACCAGGGTGCCCAGGTATTATATGTTAAGTCGGTAACAAAGAATTATGTAGTTTGTATTTACGTCTTACCTTTGTTATACACAGAGTTATCTAATAACAATTCTTTCTGTCTGATATGACGTAGAATTTGGAGACATTATCGGAAATAAAAAAAAAATATAAGAAAAACAAATAAAATTCAGAACTCTCTGATTATTACCCGTTTAATGTTGGTTATAATATACCCCGTTACTATATCCTAAAACCTCAATGTTCAATGAATATATAAAGAAAGAACCTTGACCCTTAAAATGCAGTGCGAATAATATAAGTTTTGTCATTTATATATAAAAGACATTTTGTGTATCGCACTGGCCCAGTTTTTCTCAGAGTACCGCACTTCAAGCATTTGATCGAGAGTCTCAAAATACACATCGCTATGTATAAATCACTTTCTATGATAATAATCATGTTATTTATACAATATACAATCTTTCCAATCCAGTTACAAATGACGACTTTTTGAAAGTGACGCCATCAGATCTACACCTACGTCGTTTGTCACTATTGTTCAGTAAAAATGAGGCAGGGAAATAACAATCAAATTAGGATTGTCGACCAAGGACGTAGACAGCATTCTAGAAACTGACGATTCAAGGAAATGGAATTTTGAAGTTTTGAGAAGATGCAGAGATAGTATTGTGGTTACTTTTAAGCACATCAAAGAAGCAGTGCAGGCAAGTGGCCAGGAGAGTATCCACATACTTTGCAAGGTAAACACATTTTGATGAATCACAAAATTTAGTTAGAACTTCTTTGCCCAATCCTTTTAGTTTATTTGTTTTCTGATTTCTTACTTTGTTCTACCACTTTCCTGTCGATGTACCAGACAATGATAAACTATAAAATATAAAAAAAAATAAAGCTATGGTATTACACCATGTACATTGCATTCAATTTTCCGTAAAGTAATACCATAACATTTATTTCTATGATCACATTTATTGGACTTCCGTTTTGTTTCTTCAAAATAGTACTGCCTTAATTTATCATAATAAATATGGTCACAGTCGAAGTAATCTAATAGTAACTTTTTTTCCTCTTGTATTACAGCTTGTGAAAGGCGATTCTATTGATTTTGGTAAGTTATTAGACTCCAGTATTTTCTTAAGACTATATGAACATGGTGATAGATATGTATATCAGTATTGCTATGTCCCGTTTTCTCTCTGCGTTTATTGTCCCCAACAAATCTCCAGCTGATTCCCTAAATTCAAGTTTACCCTAAAAGGTGTACATTAACATGTTTAATAGGTCCACTTATGTACTCGTTTTACATCAATGTTTTTTGTCGAAACTTGTTCTAGGGAAATCATTGACAGCTTTGCATGTTGTTATTCTCTTTTGACTTGGTAACACACTTTCATATATAAAAGATCAGTGGATAAAGTTGTGCATTGTCTATACAATGTCCATACAATTTTCATTGCAACAACATTAATAATTTAGAAATTCAATAAACACAGTCGAGGCAAATAGGAAATTGCATAACATTACGAAATATCCTAATTTAACACATTATTATGAAATTCAATAATATTAGTAATTCGAATAATTTTATTACTATATTATGGAATTTCGTAATTCATAAAATTATGGAAATACATAATTTAAGAAGAATTTTTGAATTTCAATTAATTTTTTCGGCTGTTTTTTTGGCCCCATGACAAATTTTAAGAAGTCTCAAGGAAACAAAAGTTATTTATGAGTGGAATTTATACCAGGGCATGTGGGACAACTGTCAGATTTTCTCCGAATCGACGATAAATCCCCCCGATACGACGGTATTTGATTTTTTATTAAAATTTGACAATGGGAGGTAATTCATGTCGACTAAATGGGCAATTAGAGGTTATGGTTCTTTGATAATTCGATTTTAATATTATGTTGATGATGTGTATTTTAATTTGTTTATATTGATTTGCATGTGATTTACATTTGTATACTTTAATCTTGTTTTATAGGTCTTGAATCATCTAGTTAAAGATGTTAAGAAATGAATATACTTAAAAATTAAACTTTGTTTAAGGTTATTCTAACCTTATGTTGGTTGTCATTTTGAAACAAAATAATACCAGAACATTGATAAAATAATAAATAAAATGTTTTTATAATATATTACGATGTAATTTTTTACTAATATAATTACAAATAACAATTGAAATTAACAGCTTAAAGCATATTTGTTATCAATTTTGTAAATGCAGACATTTTCTTTATTCTGTTTTATCCGGTTTTTGTTTATATTCCTTACGGTATGGTTGAATTCTGACATTTCTATACAGCGTAGGATTCTGTTGAACCCTTTCTATTAGTTCAGGATCAAGTTTGTGCAATTTAGGCAGAAGATACAACCTTCCTGGTTTAAGATCTCTCTTAGCAGAAAGATATTTAAATGTGATTCATCCTTGACCCCTTTCCTATGCATTTCAAAGATAATATTATTGATTTTCTGGTTGGTCTCTATTATATTTAATTTTGCAATTTCTGTAAAGTGAGTAGTACTACTCAGTTGCCTCAGTCCTTCATTTATATATTCTGTTTTATCCCAGATCACTGTGGTGTAATTTTTATCTGCTTTTCAAATTATTATTTTTTTTGTTTCGTTTCAGGGAAGAAATTGCCTTTCTTTCCATCGTAGTGAGATTATCGTGTGCTTTTTGCAATGTTAAATTATCTATCTCAATCTTAGTTTTGAATATATATGTCTCAATTGCATTGTTTGGAAGTTCCGGTTCATATCCGGATTTTGTTAAAAAGGAATTACGTTTAAAAATATCACCATTGTCAAAATGATATTTACATCTTAGTTTTCTTGCAAATTTATTGAAATCTGATGCAATACTAGATTTTGCAAATTTCGTCGAGGGAGACGGTATAATTTTTTATACTTTAATCCTTTACTGAGTAACAAAATCTTATCGTCTTTAATTTTTTATTCTTGAATATTTTAACATATTCACGCGCCTTTTCAATTGATTTTTTCCTCTTGAGAAAGCATATCTTTATCATTCTATTTTTTTCTGATAGAAGGCCTTTCATGATAGCCTTTTTGTTGTTTTTTTTTTGCCCTCTTAAAGTGTCTTTTAGTCATGCTTACAGATCAGAGGAAATCGCCAGAAGGCAGCGCGCAATTCATTTATTATTTTTTATCAAGCCTGTATTGACTCGCAAACCAATCAGATATCAGTTACTCAATAGGAAGCCATATTAAGGGAAGAGGAGAACATCCCTCTTACACATTGCAACCAATCATCATTCATTGCTTTATAAACTGACACGTATACCAGATGCATTACCAATTTGACTATTTAATTTATCAGACTATCAAAAAATATTCATTTTTGTATTGCAAATCTCAGTATGCCGCTGATATTTACAACTTAATTATCAACTTATTCCTCTCACTAAAGAATCTCTGACGTTTCGGTTTTTACATTTACTTTCCCCGTATTCTGGTGGTAACATAACTTTAACATTAAAATTGACATAATTAATCAACCCTTTAACCTTTCGGTTTAATATTTTCCAAATTTAATATATATTTTGACAGAAATTAGAAACACATTACCAATGCACTATTGCTTTTGCTGATAATAATCGGTGCATTTAATTATAATGTATTAATTAAGACCACTTTCAGTGAAATTATAGACTTATCGTTTACACAATGTTAAATAGTATCTTTGATGGTTTTATTTCTCAACTTTAATAAAGAGATATTCGTAAACATTTGTTTATCATCATAATTGCATTTGGTTCATTGATAAACTAACCTGCTGTGTTCTGTTCGATCAATTATCTATAAATTAAGCGTAACCCAAGAACTGATAAGATATTACACTTTCATTCACACCAATTACAACTGTTTGTCAAAAAACATTACTTACGAAGTGTATAGCCACATGTTAAATGTTTTATTATCTTCATTTGACTTGTCAGATGTTACAAAGTTCACCTACATCATATATCTTCTGATAAAAGTTATGTACATAGTCATTCCAATATTGTTCGATCATATTTATTACCTATACGGAGCTTGAATTATCTTTTCTACCAATGCATGGTAAAAAATGTAAAAAAAACAATCTTACTAAGGGCTAAGGGTGAAAAAATAGCACTACGCGATTTGAAAAATGATGAAAAAATAGTAATAAAAAAGTCAGATAAAAATTCTAATTGTGTTATATGAGACAGGCTAGACTACATAACAAAAGTCACAAGACAACTAAATTCTCAACATTACTGCCAATTAGATTCTTTTAACATGGCAGACTTGACTTGAAAACCCAGGTCATTGAGTATGTTAAATCACTATACGAACAAGGCATAATCGACAACATATCATTTAATTTTTCAACAAATGGTCAAAAATTAAGAGATGCACATTATGGAAGAGTTTATATTCTCCCCAACATTCACCGTCTTGAAACGACTTGAAACGGAGACGTTCAAACAAATACATCGTGATGGATTAAATGAATTAAATATAATTCCACCTGGCAGACCAAATATATCACAGTGTGGTTCCGTAACTGAACTTATTAATCATTACGTTGATTATTTTCTTATATACCTATAGTTCAAAATCAGTCTACATATATAAAAGATACTACATCGTTCATTAATATAATTAAAAAGATAAAACCTATGGCAAAAAGGCTTTTTGGTTTCGATTGATATAACACAGATGTTTACTAATCTTCCTCAAGAAGCTTTGTTAAGTGATGTTGAACGAGCTATCGAGCTATATGACAGTTTTGACAAATCAAACTTCAAAGTCAATGCCCCGCTGTAAATGTATTAATATATCTATTGAGACTCATTTTAGAAAACAATGTATTTGAATTTGATGGAAAAATTTATTAACAAATAATAGGTACGGCAATTGGTGCAGTTCCTTCACCGGAAATCTGACATACTTATGTTCGAAATTATGATTCAAATAATTTCTGCATTTCAATCTAAAGACAAAATATTTAATCATGACAGATATAGGGACGATGGATTTATAATATATGATTGAACATCAGATGAAATTATAGATTTGTTTCGTCTAGCAAATAATCATAATCCTTTATTAAAGTTCACCTATGAAATCTCAAACGATCAAATGTCGTTCTTAGATGTTGATGTAATTAAAGGCCAAAGATTTACAACACATGGCATTCTTGACCTTGAAATACATTTTAAAGAAACTAATTCTTATATATCTGCACTGAAATAACTGTCACTCATAGCATGTATTCCGAGGAAGGTGAAGCAATACGGCAAATTAGAAACACAAATGACCATAACAAATTAATAAACAAATCAAAGTGACATTATTAGATAGGGGTTATGAAAACGTCGAAATAGATGATAGTATTACTGATGCTTTATCAATTGAACGTACTGAATTATTACAACAAAACAAATCAAAAGAAACTAAATATAACCCATATATACGTAAGATAAAGAAACGTATCATGAAACACTGACATTTATTACAGTTTGACGAAGATTGTGCACAATTATTCAATGCAGCATCAATAATTGCGTATAGCAAACATAAAAGTGTTGGAGATATGCTTAGTAGATCAAAGTTATTACTTTTACTGTTAAGTCTGTTTTTTTAGATATCCATTTGACGTGACTCTGTGCTTATGTATCCAATCATACCTTGAACGACAAAATTGTTTTATTTATTAATATTACTTTTACTGTTGAGTCTGTTTTTTGTGATATACATTTGACGTGACTCTGTACTTATGTATATCGTCATACTTTGTACCACACAATCATGACCATTATTTTATTTTATTTATTAATATTACTTTTTTGGTCTTTTGGAAAATGTTGTTTGTGCTGTATTTAGACCCCTCTAACAAGAAATTTGTTTTGCATGCACACGTATAAAAATTGCGGTTTTTATCCAACGCAATCATAGGTTTGAACGTTGTTTTCAATTCAGACTTGTTTATATATATATAAATAAACCTAACGATGTTAGAGTAGATCTGATTCGTAACTTCCTCCCCGAGCGGGGCTGGAACCTGTATTTTTTATTTCTAACTTCTACGACAACACCGCCTAGCATTG